TCGAAATGCAAAGCACATGTTTCCAAGTCTTAAGTAGCCAAACATATTGTGGATTCATCCTGTTCAGTATTGTGTATCCACACCACCAAGGGTTTCTGGCATATGAGCAATCCTCTTTGGTTGACGTCTACTTTTTTGGACTATGCACCTTACTATTACTGCTCAATTTTGGTTCTAAGGCACAACCTAAATTGATTTCCTGAACACTGTCTCATTACCCGACGCCTCTTATTTGCTGGGCCAGGCAGCTCCTCGGTCAATTTCTGCAGTACCGATACCTGGGCTTCGAGCTCGGCAACCCTTAAGTCTTTGTCCCCTTTCATCAGAAATACATGTTAGAGCTGCTCCCAGTACTTGACTCCCCCCCGACATCGTTGAACTCATTTGTAGTAGTTGCCTTTGATTTTTGCCCCTTTGTACTCTTAACTTCAGGCTTGTAAATCAAAACTGGGAAAATCTTATCTTGGAGTATAACATCGGCCAGATATTTCTGAGCCATACACCGAGCCATTTTCTTCTCGATTTCTTTACAGGCGCATCTTTCTACTCTTTCTGAAGGTATCGGATGCATGCGCTTTTTCGTAGGTTCGTATTCTTGAGCGCTCATGATCTTCCATTTTCCATCATTGCAAATTCGATAAGATACCTCGGTACGCAATTCAAAATCGTCAATCTGAATACGTAATTAGTCAAATCTCTTCGCCATAATACTCTATCCGAAGGACTTACTACAATTCGAACATACTGGCCCAAGCGGTGTACGTACACGAATGTTTCTGGATCAATGTATTTTCCTTTGTACTCAGCTTCCCATTCAGCTGCACAATAAAATTGTTCGGTTTCAACGTCGAGGAGGTGATGAAGTGCTGACGGTTTCCAGTCGAAGAGTATAGTTGCTAAGACATCGATCAAAGACAAATCTTCCGGAAATTGAATCTGATTTGATTTGCGCTTCTTAGATTTTGGGAGATGAGGATTGTTTTGAGGTCTTTTGATGTTGAGGAGATGGTGATGGCCTTGAGGAGCATTTGCCGGGAGATCGATGCTGATATTGAGGTCAACCTTTTTACAAAATTCTCCCTCCATGGTTATTCTGGGCTTTGCTTGAGCTGGTTTGATTAAACGAAATATGGAGCACGCTGTCTTGAATGTGAGTGATGAATAAAAGAAAGGGATTAATCTAGTGCTATTATATAGCCTTGCATCACTAAAAGAAAATTTTGGGAGAACAATCATCCGCCCCTTAAATTTCTTGAGCTTTGTTTTGGGAGAAGAAATCAATTTTTTTTCTTCAGAGGTGGCTTGTGATAGGCTCTCGACCTGCATGCATGTCGAAGCCGGGCCATAGCAAATAGGATTGTCTATGTTTGCTTTGGCTGTGCTGGAGTAGTATTCGGTAGCAACAAGATGAATATGCTCGGCGATATATCGGTCTACCGTGCCTCCTATTTCTCAATCCTTCCAGCTCTTTTTTCTTCGTGGAATAGACACTGCAAAATTTCTCTCTATAAACGGATACTCTCTTTGACGAAAAGTCCGAGAACATTTGAGAGATTTCCCAAGGACATGAGAACAGAAACAATCTCACGCTGGACGAAATGAATGAATTCACTAAAATTGAGTAGTCCTACCTGAGAATTATCTCGACTCAGAATCGAGAATTGGATGATCCTTCAGGCTTCAAAACTTAGTATCTAAGTATTTCATAGCACTCTTCAATATTCCATCATTTGACAATCAAATTTTAACAGTCCAAAAGAAATCAAAATTTGGTCGGAAGTTTTCCCTCAATGTTTTGTTTATCGTTTGCACACAATCTGACAATCTCCTTCCTTAGCCATCTGATATGACAGGCCTAAGTTATGTAAACACACAAAATTTCTCATCTTCTCGATACGGAAGCCACAGTCGAACCCCATTTCCATGCCAAGCCGGCCATCATATCCTCTCAATTATTGCGCTTTCTCTTCAAAGACCTTTTCACTTCCTCGACTGACTTCTGAAGTTTGTCCAACCGACCTTGAACCTCAGACATCTCGCCTACGAATCTGCTACTGCCTCCAGAACCAGTTACAGCTTCTTGAACCTGTTGAGAAACTTCGGTGACACGACCCGTATTTGAGACGCATTTCGAGTGAAAGCTCATTGGCATGTTCTTCTTGCCCTCGAAATCTGTCCCGCGTATAATCATTCTTGCTAATTTATGGTCGTGTGCTTCGCAACGCTCCATAGAGCTGGTATATGGGTAATATTTCTCATCGTGACTCCGATCCTCAGAGAATACAATCTCCCAGTTTCCCTTCTCGCAGATAAAATAAGTTACATCCAAATCAGAGCAATGACTCGCGAAATTGGTGATCTATGATTGAGTTATCAGAGGGATTTCCACTGCACTGTACATGCGTCTTCCATACATGTTTTCCAGGAAGCTACTCACCCAGACTCGGACAATGCTTCCCGCGCGAAGAAGACATATATAGTCTGGCGACAAGTCATCGGATTTATCGCTCTCGCTATCCACGATTCCATTCTGATGTTCTTTATCGTTTTCAGATAGCTTGATATGCCCGTTTCTGTCCCACCAGCAAAAAAATGTCCCGCTTGAACATCGAGCAAATGACTGGGAGCCAACGGGTTGAATTCGTAGAGAATAGTAGCAATTACGTCAACTGTCAACAAATCTTATGGAATTTTGTTCTTGTCAACCCCAGCATTCCATTTGATTATGTGTGGTGACCCGAAGGAGTATCGGCGGGAAGGTTAACATTGTCTTCGTACTTAACGTTAACTTGCTTGGCAGTCCCTTCTTTGATAAACAGATTGTCCATTTCTAGAGGTAATTACTGAGATGGAAGAAGGAGTGTGAGTTCATGGAAGTTATTATGAAAAGTAGGAATTATGGAAATTTAACACTCTTAAATCTCGATGGATGAGGAAACGGGCATCTACCAAGCTCGGGCTACGGGTACCACTTTTTGGCACGGAAAGGTGCCGAAGTAGTTTCTTATTCAAGACTACAGTCACAAGGATAAAGCACAAGGATCAGGATTGCTCGCCACCACAGAATAGTCCGACTGAAGCTTTTATTGTGAGGTTGCAATGGGTACCTAATATTCGACACCAAAACTTTCTCGCTTTTACTTTGCTCCAACTACACAGTATTCTCTTCTTACCACAGACTTAGTATGTTCTCTAGAATTAACAAACCCATCTCCAAAATAGGCGCAGAAAAAACATGCGTGCCATCAAGCGGAAGAAGGACAATATTGTTTCATCTAACAGCCCTCTCTTTTTCTCTTTGCTTGGATCCAAGGTGTCTATGATTCCACGCTCCAAATGCTTTAGCCACACATCTATCTGGAGACGAGGTTTTTCGAAACGCCTGTCTCTCTCTCTTACGAATCCTGCATTATTTCCCAGCCATTCATTTTCGATCAAATGCTTGACTGACGTCTCTGTTGCAAATCCCCCAGGGGCAGTGATAATCCACTGTCCATCGTCAAGAATTTTGTAGCCGTAGTGCCATCGTTTCTTGGAAGTCAAGTCATTGAAGACTACCTGCAATCGCGATTAACAGAATTCCTTTGATCGATATCGATGAATCTCACCTGGACTTTCCGATTATTACGAGCAATGTAGCCACAATGTGTCATCGAAAGCGTCTAAACTGACATATGACTCTTCCACGCTGCAATTCAGAAGGTGGACCAAAGACCATGGGCATTGGTAGGCAAGAATAGTGCAAATGACATCCACAAGAGTGACGGCAGCAGAATCAGTTTTTTCCCCCGCGGGGTTTGCGGTTTTGTGGATAATGTGAGGATTATTGTTGGGGGCATTAGCCGAAAATTTGAGATGAAGATCGAGATTGAGATCAGCTCGAACGCATAACAGCTGATTAGATATCTTTACAAATTGGATGGCGCTTGTATTGCAAGAGATGCTGAGAGAAAAAAATTAGAAATATTGAAAAGCTGCCTCTAAAAATCTCATGGTCTACATCCAAACGTCCGAAAGATGTAGTTATAATCTAAGTAATCTGTGTAACAGACATGACCAAATTGAAAATCAATTGCTCAGGTAAAGGCAAGCTAAAGGGTCGGAAACATACATGGACACCGCCACCAAAGGCAGATAATATTTCGTCGGAAACTTGCGTCAAGTCCAGTATCCTCAAAGCCTTCACACCGTGATCAACTCATTCGTGGGATCCTGCAGTTTTTTATTCCTTCGGAGCGCAGAGCGACTTCCGATACCCTGGCCGTTTGTATTTTGAAACCGATATCTAGTTAGTTGAATGTGAGCCACCAAATGAAGTTTCGAGTGCAGTGAACTTACATCCAACCAATGAAAACCCTGCACATCTCGGTAAAGTGCATCGCTTTACCAAAGTTTTCGACAAATGGCATAATTCTACAACGAAGCCTCCCACATTGAAGAGCTTTAGGCCTCCAATTTATCTATTGCGGCATCAAATAGTATGATTGAGACGGTGGATCAAGAGGCACTCTATTGACTACATGATTGATTCAGTATAAATTCACTCTAGCTGGTTTTAGTTCTCCAAAATTCCTATATCCTCTATGTAATTAATTATTCTCATATACATACTTCCCCGGCACCCAGGTAGTATTGCCCTTTTCCCAGCCCTGTTTTCAAGGCATGAAAGACGAGAAAAAATCAAGGTCCCTTCCTCATAAGAAGCATCTATCTTACTGTTGCCTAGAGACCTTCAAGGCTCAAATATGCATTTAATGAACATTGCCGCGTCAGCCGATTTTTATTGGTCGAATACTTGGAAGTGGACAATAATAATCATGCAGTTCACATATCATCATACCAAATCACAACTTGCTCACAACCTCCAGCTTTTGATTTAATACTACCAGATACTAACAAAGGTCCGCATAATGATTCTCTCCCATCCCATCCCATCCCGTAGATTACTTCCCAAGCGGATCATCTTGGATATATCTGCCGACGCCTGCTCATCAACCTAATCATTCCGCTGCGCACTTTCTCTTTTTTGTTCCTCGCAAACGGGTTTGATCCGTTTTCTTGGCGCCAGTGGCGTTCATCGTCACGGTCTCGATTTCGGTATCGCTACCTGACTGTACGAATGCTTGCTTTGGAGTCGATTTTTTATCCGCCACGGTTTCATTTCCGCCAGCAGCTTCTGATTCGTCGATGTCTATCCAATGTCCATCTTTCGTAGTGACATAACACTCGAATTCGAAATCTTTGAGGAGTTCTAGGTGCCAGGGGAGAGATTGACCCAATCTCCCAGCAATAATTCGGTCGCTTTTCGCAATATGACACTCATGCCAGTTTTCTTCATAATGGTCTTCCAGAGTGCAAATCTCCTCAATACCCAAGCGCTCAGATCCCAATAGCTGCCATCTACCATCGTCATCGATGTGATAGGATAGAGCCCGTTTGTCGAGCGTGACCTAGATTAATCTTAGTGGAGTCGCTGTGGTTTGAAGGACACATACTCGTAAATATTTCCATGATCTTCTAACGCAAAAGTCCATATTATAAGTAGATGTACTCCAGTAAAATTGAGATACGCTGAGATCCAACAATTTTGATAGTGCGGAAGGTTTCCAGAACCCAATGGTGGAGACTATGACGTCTGCAGTGTTGTCGCGGGCTTCACATTCACAGGGAGTCGGGAGTCCCCATCGCTGAATGACTTCGTTGCCCTCCGATCTCTGTTCAATTATGCCTGGCTTCAAGATGATAGGCTTTCGAAATCTGTTGGAGTTACTACAGGCCAGGCTCAACACAAATTCATCTGGGTCGTCTCTGTCATTTCTGAAAACCGCTTTCCATTTATTTGTGCTCGACATTTCGATTTCGTAAATGTATTCTACATTTAGCTCACAGAAAACGAAGGGAATCTGCTTGATATATCTTGTGATTAGGTAAAAACAGCTCAGTGTGCATGCATCTGGCCAATCAAAGTAGGGGTTCCCGGGCTGAAATTTTATGATATGGATGGGCCGACATGTGATAGTCCGACTTGCTTTTCACAGCTCACTTTTCAAGACTTCCCTCGATGGTTTTTCTTTGCGTCTTGAAAAATACTGGACTCGCGCATTGTATCGGGAAAAAAGTAAAGGATAAATTCAACAATAACAAAGTAGGCAACATCTCTACACTATTTTAGATCAAGACCAAAACTAAGTCCGGCTCACAAAGGAGTATACCTCGGCGGTTCATCATTCTTATCACGTTTCCCCTCAAACCCCTCCTCATCTAAACCAATCAATTCTTTCGAGCTGGCAATCGAGCCCGTATCATTGTTTCTTCTCGCTTTACTTCTCGATCTACAGCAAGGTAAACAACACGTGAGAACACCCAAAGGACTTTCCGTTTTCTCTTCTCCGGTCATGATTCGACCAGGGTGAAGTACGTTTATGATACTTATAGCTAGAACTGCCGGGGTGACTTCAAAGATGTAGAAGTAATATTCATGGTGGATAGGGCACTGGATGTCTCATCTCCAGTAGAGAATCGAGCGAGGAGAAGAATGCCTGGATCTGTGGGGTTTGTGTTAGTACTATTATCTAGATAATATCATTTTATGGTAAGGATAGAAAATTTACCAGAATAAGAGATGAACCTCCAAATAACGCTCTCATTAAGCTCTTCCATCCCGCCCCATGACGCTCCTGTGTCCCAACCCACTCATCTCTCTCAAAAGTGCCACAAGCACGCCCAAAAACACCAAAATAACCAGAATTTGCACGACCAAGCCCCCGATGTGAACATGATCTGCATTCCTCTGTTCCCATTCAAGATTTCTCTTTTCCATCATTGTTGCGCCCACAACTTCCAGCACAAAGGCCACTCCATTGAATACTAAGAAAGGAAGCGCAATGATATGAGCACGAATACCGAGAAGAGAACGACTTGGGAGATAGTGATGCACGAGGTGTCCCAAGAGAATGAAGTAATAGGCGTTGATCAAGGGCGAGATAGTCAAAGCAAAGATGGAAGACATGAGTTCAAGGATGTTATTTTGTTGGTTGTAGGTTGATACAATACGGAGTATGAAGGCCGTGAGGCCCCAAATGGATGCTGAAAATATGAAGAAACTATATGCCTGCATGATGTGTCAGTTTCGGTGTTAAATTCCGGGATAAAGTAAAAGAACAAATACCTTTTTGTAAAGAATGCTTGTATGATGTGAGCTAGAGTAAGAAATCCGAAAATGGCAGCGAAAGCTACAGCTGATGTAGAACTAGGATAGTAGTCATAAAGAGCGTTGCATGTACCCGGAGGCAAATATCCATTTTTGTCCGGCGTAAGTGTTTGTATGCAGGTAGGAACTGCAAAAGAGACTGTTTTGGCTGGGATAGTTACATGTGCATTCGTTACCCCCGCAATGGTAATGTAATTTGTTGTTAGGAAATAAAGTGGACTTGTGGATACAGGTGAAGCAGTGGTAGTCACATCACGCTGCAAAATCGTTGGAGCCGCAATGGGGCTTGAACGTGTAGTTGTGGTACTCAGAGCGAGAGCATTGGTAGCGATAAAGACTGTCGATGCTAAGAATATGAGACTAGAGAACATCATCGTCGTTGTTTAGGCAACAAAGAATTCGATGGTATAATCAACACGGATAAGTGGAAATAGTTCAAGGAAAGTCAACACAAAATATTTCAGGATGTTGCAGATAAGGAGAAATGATCGCTAATAGCTAGGAAAGTTAAATCATTGAGAAATCTAGGTTCATATATGAAGAAGGAAACAGCAATGGTCTAAGCAGGGTGGTGAGATACTACAACCCTCCTTCAGGTGAGAAGTGTAGCTGACTAAGTACGCATTAATCTCTCATTGGTCGGGGCGTAGAAAAGATTAAATGCCATATGACATCTGTGTACGAATAGACCAATTGTGCACCCGAATAATGTGGCGAAGTAAAGGAGGTCTCGCTTACCTACTTTACCGCTTCAAAAATGGGGTCAGATGGAACGGCAACATTGTCGCAATCCCGAAGTTCATCAGCTACTCGTAGTCTATTTAACGTTCTCCCCTACAATTTCATAAATAACGTAATTAGAAGGCTGTTGTCGGACCTGGGGGAATATGGATTCTTACGAAGCTGGCGCATTTGGCCAGGGCTATTGAGAAGCCACTGCATCAGCGATTGTGTTTCGAATTCACGTGAGTGTTGTATAAAAATGTGAAATGGTAAATGCCTTTATTATCCGTGATCCCATACTCCTGGGTATTCATATCTCGGGAACGCCCCTTGTATCCAACTCCGTTTGGAATCAGACCTTTAAACTATCCCCAATTATACCCAGGCGCACGTTAAACACGCTAGTCTCCTTCACCTTTTTTCTAATCATACCAGCTCCAAGCACATTGACCTGTGGGGTCGTTACCACGGTAGGAGTGGGCTCATGGGGCTCATCTGTGCTCGATTTCCTTTTTTTTCGCACAAGTCCTACATTAAGGGTTGTAACGCCTACACCACTCGTCTTATTTGTGATCTCTGTTACTTTGGTTCCTGTAACCAATTGGCCCCATGCGTCGCCCATGCTTCCAGCACCTGAACGAACTTCATTGATCCATCTTTTCGAACTCGAACTTGCAAGGTCTAGATCGGCAAAGTCTAGTCGAAGAAGCAATTCATTGATTCGATGATAATCCGTTTCATCAACGATAACTTGACCGCGACCTTCTGGTTTCCAAGTATAGTATGCCGTGCTCTCGGGTCTTTCTAACAAGTAATTTTTATTCTCAGTCTTAATGCGTGGCTGTCTAGGAATGATAAGCCCTGACAATTTTTCTTCTTTCCGTTGGGCGGAAGTCTTTAACAAATGACTAGGTTCCTTAATGACTGAAAAAATATCACTTTGCTTCGAAGGTGACTGCTGAGCTGGATTCGAGCTAGTAAAGGATTTCGTTGGAGTGGAAATGGCTGATGTAGCGTCTGGAATAGATAGAAACGATGAGTTCAGCTCTTGACTATCGTTAGCTAATGCTGAACTTTGGCTGCTGCCAATTACAAGATCTCTATGATCATGTCGAACTGGTGGTGTAAAAACAATCCATATAAATCCAACAAGTCGACCGGCTGAACATTCTTGTCTATATGCCATCATTTCCCAAAATTGATCAATGTTTCTCACACTCTTCCATTGCCCATTCGAATCATCCTTTCCCCTTCCTATTTCATCATCTAATTCGTCTAAAAATCTTGCTTTTGGATCGTCAGGATAATGTGGGACTAGGCATCGTGGAGGAACATCATCTGCATGTCTTGAAATTTGTCGAAGTGGGTGCCCAATGGTCCAGGAGCTCTGCGCAGTCTGTATCTTTGCTCTTGCTGGAAGATATGACCTGGTCTCGTAATTATCCTGCCCAGGCACAATTAAAAAGCCCTTCACTGAGTCCCACTGTGATTTTCGCAAATCATTCGAGGTTTCCGTCTGCTCTATCAGGGGGTCAAGAACTCGACACCACCAGCGCACCAAGCCTCTGTCGTCCAACACATGTTTTCCGCTATATTCAATGCTCCCTGGGAAGAGATATTGATCTTGAGCTCGTGCGAAAAGGGAGACAATACTTCGAATATTTTCCCTTTGACGTTGCTCGACTAAATGTTGTAAGAATGTAGCACTGATATCCCTTATGGGAGAAGGCGTTCCTTTGGGTAGATTTAAAAGATGAAGATAACCAGTCGAATCGGCCTTTGAAACAAAAAATGTAGTATCGTATGCGGTGGAATAAATCAGGATTTCGATTGCAAAAACTAATACTTCAAGTAATTCAGATGCATCTTGTTTTGAAGGAGTTCGAACTGAAACTGTAAGAAAATGGCTTTCGCAATAAGTTCTATCGGGTCGACTATTCGGTGGTGCAGAATATAATGATGAGGTTTTGGTTGGAGGGGTAGATAGATGATAGATCTTAAAAGTGACGTCTTTGGGAAGGACAGAAGCAAGTCGTTGTGTGAGAACGGAAGATACAACTGATTCTTTCGAACCATAACTTCCTTGAGTAGCCATAGTAAAATGATATTGTAAATTATTTCATGAATTTCATGATCATAAATTAAGAGTCCAATGGATAGCTCAAATCACTCGAGTACTTGTGGAATTTAAATGAAGTCGTTCTGTGTGAGACGCGTCGGCGAGTCGGCACAATGACGGACGCGAAACCCAGTCTATACCAAAAGAAGTTTAGCGTCTAGATAAAGTTTCCAGAAATCTTGAGCTTTCAACATCGAGGAATTATTTTGCTAGAGGAGGGGGGTATCTGCACGACGAATAACCACAAATTATACATAGCAATGGCATCCAAAACCACCACTCGATCACTTCGATCCCTTACCCGACAAGCAGGTCAAAGATGTTCATGCGCCACTCCCATATCCTCCCGCTCAAATACCATCCGACAATTTTCAATATCAACCTCGAGATCAGATACCCAATATAATGAAGAACGAGGAGCAAGACCAAGATGGTCATACACACCACCACAGATGAAACTGCCATTCAACCCCAGAGCAAACCACGATATACCCACATGGGAAGTCAATAGCGATCCACAAAGATTAAATCGATTTTATATCCAATTTCTAGGACGGGGAGGCGACGAGGTACTTACAGACGAAGTAAAATGGCTTGCGATTACACATAAGAGTTTTGATCAAGGAAGAAGAGGGTTCAATGATCGATTGGCATATTTCGGTGCGTATCCTGATTTGCGTTGCGAATGGCTGAAGTATACTGAGACTATAATATGCAGGACGTAGGATATTGAACTTACAGACAAGTTTGGTTTTATTACAATCGCCGGTTGCGACAAAAACTCAATTACCACAGGAAACAGACGGCCAGGAAACAGACGGTCAGGGAACAGAAGTTGAGCAGCCATTTTCACACCCTGCTCTGGACGGTTTGCCAAACTTGACCAATGTTAAGGTGGATGATATTTTAAGCAAGGAGAGGTTGGCGAATTTGGCTACTCAAATGGGCATGTCAGATATTATCCGATGGGAACCTAGAATGGTAAGTTGAAGTTTTCTTTTACGAGGCGTATTCCATATGGCTACTAATTCCCTTTACAGAAGGATAATCTCGAGAAGTCTGGTCTTGAGCTCGTACTAGCCACTTCATTGTACGCTATTATTGGAGCAATCGCATTGCAGAAGGGTGGTGATGTTGCAACAAGAGTGGCGCGAGAGAGAATATTGAAGCCTCTTGGTATATCATAGATGTATATCACATGTATGAATGATACGGATGTAGAATACATATTGTAAAATACTTGCTAAAAACTCACAAGTTGTGAGTAGCATATCATTGACAGTGCAACTGTGGGAGCAGAGGCACATAACAGTGGGTGTACAAATTCATCAAATACTTCCTCGAACTTCAAAATTCTCAACCAATTCAATATTCATATCATCGATCTCAAATTGTACGATTTTTTGGTCAAATTCGTAATAAATCCTTGCATCTAGTTGTAAGATGCAGACTTCGAGATATATTGTCAAATCGATCAACTTCCGTGTCATTTCACAGTTAGCGCATTTACATTGTGACATAACATTACAACCATTCTCAGTAAAACAACATTGATCTATACAATATTTCCCTCTGTCCAAGCCACCTCTTTTTGCAATTACCTCCCAAACACAATCTTCGTAGAAATCAACCCTTCATTAAAGCTTCCCATCATTCTCCTACTATTCACTTCAGCAATTTTAAACCCTCTTTCCACCAAACAATACTCAAGTTTCCCCCGCCCTCCCCAACCTCACCTACCTACTATCTTCCAATCCTCTTTACAACAGATAAACCATCACCCAACCACCCATTCCTCAGATATAATGCCAACACCACTCTCCCAATATCTGAACACATAAGCGTCCGTGGCGCAATGTATTGAATATGATTGAATATGGACAACCTTGTGACTCAGTACACTTTTTTTTATGTAGGTATTGGAATTCGTTGGGAGATGAGGAGGCCTTTGGCTCATTAGTCTTTTGCTGGTTTTGGATTTTAGCAGTTTTAGTTTTTTTTCCTTTTTGGGGAGTGAAGAAAGGAGGGTTCTGAGTGAGGAGTTTCATGGTTTTTGTGGATGCGGGTGGAGATGGTGAGATGGGATGGAAGTACAAGATGGGATGGATGAGAGTATGGATGTTCTTGGAAGTGGATAGATAGTGAGTGAATAATAGATGGAAGAGTGGATTGACGAAATGAAAGTGAATGGGTAGTTCTTGAGTTATAGCAAGAGGAGTCCACTTGCAACTCACACAAACATCATAGCGCATCAATATTGTCATCGTACATTTATCTTGACAAAGGCAATAGACATTCTACCATCTAGGAAACCGTCGACAAGCTGCACAAGTAAATAAAGATCATATGTGAGCCCGGCTTCCAACTATCAAAACCTCACTTACCTACTACCTAGCCTTCAACACCTCCCATCAAGCCTTTGGAAAGCCCAATCAGATTTCATACATCGGCAATCCAATAGCAATCATCCACACTTTCAGTTCCAATACTCAAAATAAAATATACACATACGCACCTACACATTCCCACCAACCAGAAAGAACTTGCAGCTATCCATCAGCTGAACCATCACTTTCAGCTCTACCATCCATATAACCTACTAGATAGCCAACCAAACAACTAGTACCAGCCATCCCAAAAATGTCCTTCATCGAATCCCACTCCCATTGATCAATTTCCACAGCACGATCATCGCCCCCCTCCAGCCCATCGAGGCAAAAGGAACCTCGCACACGACTAGCTATTCCATGAATGAACTAACTCCCACTTCAACCAGACGAAAACATGTGTCGTATTCCTCGCCCAAGAATTTTCTCCAACTGATCAATCCATCCAACCATCCATCCATCCCCTCTGACTATTTCTCTTCTCTTCCTCACACTCAAACATATACACACATCCTCAAACCTTTCCATCTTCCCACTCTACCTCCCGCCCCCCTACCCGCTCCTCTTCCCCTCCCCCTCCCCCGCCCCCTATCACCAAGCGAATCAATACCCCTCCTCCCCACTCCCCTCCCCTCCCCAGCACAACGCATTGAGAATCTCGCTTCCACACCCCACTCCCCACCCCCAACCCCTCTATCCGCTTCTTTTCAAACTCAATATATTTTCTACAAATTTTTGTAAATGAAAAAACCTTCTACATACCTTTCACTTCACTCCACTTCACTGCGCTGCTCCATCTTTCAAACATCACATCAGGATAATCACAAACAAATAGTCCGAATAAAAATGTTACTTGTAAGATCAACTCATTTTTTTGTTCTTCCAATAGTAGTAGCAATCGCAATATCAAATAGCTTTCCGTCTACTAAAACCTCCCAAAATTCCCAAACTTCCTAACACAAGCACAGATAGAAACAACACGATAAGAAGCCAATATATGCGAATACAACCACGCAACCAAGTAACCCTGCAACCATTCCATCCACCCATTGATCCATCCATATACAACCAAACAAGCCTACAAACAAGTAATTAACTCCTCCAAGTACAATCCCATAGTGCTCTCGCAAAAAAATCATACACATAAACTCATGAACTCATACACAATCCATTTGGAACGAGTCACTCATTCATTTTCATCCTTCGCACTTCCACTTTCCCAAACAACGAAATCCGCTTCCGGTTTCTCCATTGGTTCTACCACTTTCTTTTGCATGAGAAACTCGATGTCGATTTCTTTTCCCTTTCCTTTTCCTTTTCCAGGCGTGTAAGCCATTGATACTGGCTCTGGTAATGGAATTGTGGTTTGAGGTTCTGGGATTGGTTCTTCTTGTTCCAAGGAAGCCTCCGTCTCTTTCTCAGCTTCTTCTTCTTCGGCCGATACCTCAGGTTCAGGATCTGGAAGAATGATGAAAACACTCTTCTCATCACAACCTTCTGCATAGAAATCTTCTTTCCTCATCTCTCCCAATGGGGCTCTATCAACATCAATAGCACCCTCTTCCATTTCCCTTCGTTTCTTTTGTTGCATCTTAATCCTCATTTTCATTTCTCTAATCTCCATATCATCTTTACGAGACATAGACGTGGAAGAAGAACTCGAAGCGAAAGCAGTAAGTGAAGTACGTGTTTGAGAAATGTCATCTAGAGGTGGAACATTCTCTTTGCCTCTCTCGTCTCTCAATCTTGTAAGTGTTTCTTCGTCGGAGGAGATATCCAGAATGCCAGTACTATGTTCCATAAGATTGGTGGCATGTTCCTCTTCAGTGTCTTCGTGAATTTGGAAGAACCAGGATGATTTGCCTTCGGGTGCACGAAGGGAGGAGGGGATTTCTTTCTGAGAGGTTTGGGCCTTCGTGCCCTTGGAAGAGAGAGCTTGACGTTGACGTTGACGTGCGCCGTATGATGGAATGGTTCCTGAAAGAGCGGCATCGATTGAGAAGCTAAGGCCGCTAGGCTTTGAGGTGGAGAATTTGGGAGGATCAACGCGGGTTATTGAACCGGAAGCACGACGGTGATTGTTAAGGATTCCGACGCGCTTTCTAGTAGGTGAGCGACCTGCTGGAGCGGTAAGGGGTGTAGATTTTGGGACTGTGGTGGTGGCTTTTGGTGTTTGAGTACGAGTTTGTAGTATCTTTCGCTGAGTGGTAGATTTGATAGGTTTGAGAGGAGAGGTAAGCGACGCTTCCGTGGGAGATGGAGGGGCTTTGGTTAAGAAGTAGCTTGTAGGTTTTGAGTAGGTATCTTTAGTTTCCTCAACAGCCTTGGATCGCTTGGGAGATTCGAAGAATATAGGATCAACATTTTCGGAATCATCGTCGGATTCGAATGATGTAGCTTTGCGTTTAGGAGAGGTATTATTGGGTGATAGAGCTAGGTAGGATGTAAGTATCATGTTCATGTGTAGAATCATGTCAAGTAGGTGGGGAAGAGTGAATTGTAGCAGTCGAGAGACAGGTACTGCTATTCTGATGAAGTGGACTTTAGGCATACCATTTTGACGATTCTTGACACTCGTGATATTCTGTAGACGTGAACTATGCAACGGAGCAAATGGTTGTCTAGCCGTTCCCATTGGCATATGTGAAGTCATGATTACGATCTCTGTTGAACAGGGATCAATTTGGGTTTTCCGATTGTTTATCTTTCTTCAATTCTTTCTTTCCTTTTCGGACGATGTGTAAATCAATTGTTTATCAATGAGTTTGGGTAAATGAGTGAAATGATTTTTTGCAAGATTTGGATAGAAGGAGATAATTAACTATGATGCTGTGCTTCGAGTATTTCGTGGGAAGGATTTCAAAAAAGGTGGTGGCAGGAAAAGGAAGAAAAAGAAGCCAGTCGCGTTCGCGAAAGGAGCGAATAAAGTGGAGATGGTAATACAGTGTGTGCAGAGTGTCTGTGTCGGCAAATCGAGATTCGAGAGCTCTTAGCCTTGCTTGGATCGTTTTGTTATGTTTGGAAAGGTTAGATGGAAGTTATTATGTCAAGCTACTTGAGCTAGCAACAACTTGATGGCTTTTGGTGAAGAGTACAATGTACTATGAAGAGGCTCGAGAGGTGATGGAAGGTAAACAATATGTTTCCCCACACAAGCAAGAAAAGTTTAATTGATTTCGGAATCCAAATCACGAAGATCAAAACAATCAAGAAAGATCAAAACAAGATGGATAGATATTAGAGAGGGAGCACGAAAAGAGAAGAAGAGTAGGGGGAATGCAGGTCTATATTGGAAAGCCTCTCGTTTCCATTTCCCTTTTTGAATACCTGGTAGATACATACAGTATGTACAGAGTATGCCTGCTTGCTTGTTCATCCATACATATCATATCCACTCAATTCATCAATTCAAGTTTCTACTCTTCTCTTCCCTTACATCTGTGAGTACATACTATATACATACCATACCCTCATTCCCAAACCTTACCAGTACAATACTTACTTATATCTACCTAGCTCCAGCATTCACCCATCGACTCAGATCTCCTCTGCATAGCCAATTCCAATGCCAATCCAATACCTCCCACTCAATCACGCATCACCAGCGCGTAGCCCACGCGAAAACCCACCAATCCCCATCTCCCCTCCCAATAAGAGTTCGAAACGTCCCGAGAAACCCAAAACCACTCTCACAAACCCCCCGTACGTCCAAGTCCAAACCGGGATACCATCATGAGAATCATAAGCCCAGCCAGGATCACCAATCCACAAGCGAGACACATCTCAATCATGCAATCTCAATTCCGCAAGGCCATTCGCCCACTGCTCAAAACTAGTGGCTCTTTCTCCACGCCAGGGGGGAAAGGGATGAGGAAATCTCATATCATAGTACGAACTAGTTGAAACCTTTCCCATCGCGAGAAACGCGACTCACTTAAAGTATAAGAACATCTTCGCGTCTCAATTAAAAGATCGAGGGGAAATGGCGATTCTTCGTGTTCTTTTCGTTCTCGAATCGTGAAAAATGACTTGCATGAGAACGCGATCCATGAAAGAACGAAAATGTCCATTTCTATTATTACACTCCTGCAGCTTTAGCTTTAACTGCAAGTATCTGGGTACATATCAATCAATTCATATCATATTATTCCCCTCACATCATCAAAAATTTGATCAATTCTTCACTTCAATCGATTAAATGTCTAATCGATTCCACCTTTTCTTGATATACTCGATACAATACTACCTTCGTCACCATATTGCCTTTCCATACTAATAATGCTACTCAACCAATTGAATTAGAATGAAGATTCATTTCCACGCGTTCACGTTCACCGGCTCAAGAATATGGTCGCGATTGCTGCGACCTTTCGCCCTTTCGCCCTTTATGTTATGCATGCATAATTATTGGTATTCATTCATTTATCACAGGGGCTATGCTATCTAATGTTGTACTTGATTTCCTGATGTGCATAGTGTGTCATACTGATTCTTTTTCTGGGTGAAAGGTTGTATATTCAATTTGCACTAAGAGATAATAACATACTTGCTCGATGCCACTATGCATGCTAACTGTTGTTAATGTAAAGATAGTTGATGTGTAGGCTCCAATGAGCACCTTGACTAGCGAGAGATGAAAAGAATGATAGTAGAACTGAAACCGATGATAAAAAATAATAATTTATAGGTCGTGCAATCCCCCAGCCACTTAATCAATCTCTCCTAGTCGTGGAGCTTTGCCTTCCCAACCAACTTGCTCATAATAACGGAAGACGAGGTCGTAGCCGTCAAAGTCGTGTACGATCCTATCAACTCTACGGTATCCGGGAATGTTTTCCATTCTGGCACTTCTCAAGCGAGCGGCGCCTGCACTCTTCATGGCGGAGGCAGAATCACCAAGCAATGTTAATTCTCTTCCCTCGGCTGAATTGTTCTTCGATTCAAAGAGAGTAACACTGAAACGACCAGGCTTGAAAATATCAACAACATGTTCGATAATGTCAGCCGTCTCACGACCAGTTTGGCAGCCAGGCACGTTGGTCTCGAATGATGCATACGAGCATTGAGGTTCAGGCGTAACATGAACCGTGAAGTAATGCGTGGCAGCACCTGCTTGATCAGGCGCAGGAATAACTCCATTGGCCGAAAATCCGCACGGAGTGAAGAGATAAGCATCAACACGTGCATCAGGGTACTTCGAGGTAGGATAGACATCCGATAGACCGCAAGCTTCGGAGACTACCGTACCAAGAGCGTGACCCTCAGTTCCAAGCTCTTCGGGGAATGATACCTCATCATCCGGTGTGACAAGACCTCCGTTGTGATCGGAAGATGTGTTGCTAAAAACGTCGAAAGTTTCATCGGTGTTGGTGCTTCTGGCTGTCGTACCACTGATGCTCAAATCAGTTCGACTCAATTCACCAAGACTGTTTTCTGCATCTTTTCGTGCTTCGATAGCCCGACTGGCATACTTAGTCTCCGCGGCCGCAACTGCGTGATCAAGGTAGAATTGTTTGGCATTATTTGGCTCCAGGTCAGTCATGAGAATCTCTAGGGTTTCATCTGGTCCTTGGGAACAATCACCATCTAAGGAAGATAGAGCCTGGTCGGGCATGTTCAAGACCTTAGTCTCCGTGACCGATCTTTCTGCATCCGGGGTTTGAGGCGGTGTAAGATCGGTATTAGGGTTAGTCAAGTATAGGTACCAATGATCTCCGTTCATCTTGCCAACCATGTAGGCGCTTCCACCTAAAAACATATCATCGAGATATTTGACCTCATCTTTCCAGCTACGGTGTGGGCCTTGCTGTTTCTCGGGGAATAAGAAGTTCTTTCGGCTGTAAAAAACTCGGTAGGGTTTGGCAGCAGTCTTGACGTCCTCAAGAGATTTACAATCTTGGGCCGGGAAACCTGCATGGACGGCCGCAATTCGCAACATTCGACGAAGCCCAAGCAATAAGGTGGTAGTACCGCATGTCTTGAGAATAAGCTTGTGAGGAAAAACGAACATGCTAGATTCAGAGAGAAGGTAGGCATCAACATGCTCAGACTCAACGACTGACAAGACCTTGCAATTTACAAGATCTAGCATTCCTGTCCATGTTTCGGCTGAGACGGACTTGAGCCCATCTTCTTTAGCACCGATGGGCAAGTCCTTTGGAGAGGGAGCAAACCAAACTTCTAGAAGCTTTTCTGGGCCTAATATTGTTAGCTTATGTCGCCTCAGGAACCGTGTACAAATACGAACCTTCGAAAGCATTGCTAGAATCGAGATCGATAGTAGCATCGCGATTGATAGTGAGCTGAGGTGTAGCTTCAGAAGGTGAAAATGTATATTGGGATGGGATTTCGAGGTTGACCATCTCTAACGTGAGGGTGCGATAATGCACGAAGTATCGGATTTATGCTTGGTTACGGCAGGGTATGTATATTTTTGCTGATTGGCAAAGTACTGTGAAGCACTATCTGCCACCCAGACGAACCTTGCGGTGTTCGACTGAGAAGAGTAGGCCCACAGAACCGTGGGATATGGGATGTGCTGGCGAAGCCAGCAAGATGTTCAGAATATAGACGTCACGTAGGAGACGTTAAGGAGGTCGGGTGCAAAGAGGGATGAAGAAGTCCTTAACCGAAGGAATGTTGGATTCGATGAGCTCGCTCTGATAGATGCCGATACCGTGAAAAGATATCGGGTCTAGCAGACGAGTAGTATCTGCAGTTTTAGGTATTGAAATTTATTTGAGTGTTTGGGGGCGTGGCTGGTGTTATCTGGGCCTAGAGAAGAGAAAGGAGTTGGTTAGCAAAATGGAAGAAGAGCTGGTATGATTCAAAAAGAAAATTTTAATTATTCTCCGCTTTATCAAGTGAATTATTGTTTTTCACAAGTCACTAGACCCTCGTAATCAAATCATCTGGCTGTTCATGTCCCCATTCACAGGGGAAGTATAATTGAGATGATAGGCAAATGGTCAGAAGTGAAGCCGTAAAAGGCATTGAACTGTGGAAGAATATACTGGCAGATAGAAGAGATAAATGGAAATTCTTACTTTGCTGGTTTGGATAGGAAGCGTAGTAGATCTTTAGTGCTCATAGAGAATTGTTAAAGTACTGGTAGGGAAGTGGTATTCGCAGTCAAGTGTACCGAACACTGACTGTGACTTTGGTTGCAAAGATTGCAATTTCAATAATAGTATATGTTCATTGAAATCTTCATTGAGATGTCAAAGACTAGAATAGCAAAGTAGCAATACGAAGGCTTTTGAGTCGTTGAAATGGGTCTTCAATGGGTGAAGTGTGGATTTGTTGCGTTGGTTGCTTGGAAAACTTTTTTTTTTGTTTTGGGTATAGGTAAGGTCTAAGACAACATGCGTCATTGGTCAGTTTATTTCGCACCAGTATTTGATTGACATGAACAGTTCGACGACCTACCCAAAGTTCTAGAACTTTTGATAGAAGCTCTACGAGGATGATGGCTAGAATAATAATGAGGAAGACAATTTGAGGTGAATGTGATAGCGAAGACAGAAATGAAAAGTTGGACGACGAGGGATTTATATTCTTTTTTTTTCTTCTTCACCGTAGGAAGGGGAAGATGAGATATTACTATTGATCTTTTCCCCAATTCTCAGATCGCGCGATCATTTAACGATGGGCAGCAACAGCTTTCTTGGCAGGAAGAGCATAGGCAAGTAGGTGTGGGTTTGGTTACTTTGGTAGCGGTACCAGGTAAGGTTGGTAAAGGTTTATATTCATTCCCCCTGCCCCGCACTTACCAAATAGAGCCGTGAACCCCACCAAAGAGTAACATAACAGGCCTGCTTACCTAATGGAAGCAATTAGATATCCATCATCTTTGGCTTCACTCCGAATTCAACCAATTACCTATCTTCGTCATCAACATTATCCATAAACATTTCCCAGATAGGTAGTGAGTGAAACTATGAGAGTGAGATGAAAGAAAACTTCCCACGTGTGGTTGGCCGGCCACATGTAGGAAGTATATCCGTCTACATATGCTGAATGCACTCGCACTCACATTTGCATATATCTATACTTTTATACTTGTACTTATACTTGCTTTCAGCCAGAATCAGAATCGGGCAGTGTTCTATTTCGCTCAACATCCTCAAACGGAACACAAAGAATATGAACCCTGAACAACTCGTTGTGGCATAAGTATGTGATTTTGATGCAATTTGAAGACAGCTAATAGCTCAGCTTCTCGTCTTTCTTTCTTGCTATCTGATTCTCATCAAATTTTGCATTCAAATGGTCACACATACATTCACGGCGCAATATTGTGTATCTATGTTGGCAGTACAGACGGCTATTATTGGAATGGGGAGAAAGACGAATACCATACAATGATTCTGTCTAGATTCATTCTAATACGTGTATTGATCGCAATGACTGAGAGCGCTCTCACCATATACCAAGCCCAATGAGAAATATCTTCATATTGGATTTTACTGAAGCTACAACCCTTCTATATGTTTCCTCTATTATCGTCATGCCACTTTTCTACAGGAATTCGCACTCTCGTCCTCGCTTGACTGATATTTGACCACCAGAAACCTGAGTGTGGGACAATCAAACTTGGATTGGATGGGGTATCAAGTTGTGTATAATTCTCATCGTTAGTTATTACTGTGATTTTCGTCTACTTTATATAGACCTATGTATCCAAACCCCCTTCGATCATCTCTCCCAACACATCCCAGGCTTTCGCCTCCTCTCCTCCGCTCGCCCTAGCCACCCCTCTCAACCCACTCCCTACGAACCGAACTAGCCTATCAAATTCTCCTTTCATACTCTTCAACTTCTGTGCATACGATTCAACATCACGATCTTCCATTCCGGGTGATAAAATACTCAAATCCACCTCCATTTCATCCTCCGAGTCCTCGTCCCTTTGCTTTGAAAGACTCATCCTCATACTCATCCTCATATTTGTCGATTTTCGGGGTGTTGGTGGCAAATCTAGAGACGCTAGTGATAGATCCATGATCTCCTGTTGTTTTTCCATTGTCTCTTTGCTAAGAGCCGCGTTTGTAGCCTGCGCATCTTCTAGTCTGATACCCAGATCAAGTATTTTGATGATAGTCTTATGAATCAGCTCAAGCTTGCTACCAAGGAGACATTCGTCGGTAATGCGCTTGATGAACAAAGTATGGACACGAATCATTGCATCGATATCCTCGACTTCTTGAAGATTCTGATACATTTTTTGGGAGCGTTGTTCTATTACTAAGGATGTGAGGTAATAGTATAGAGTGTAGTAAAACCAGAGAAGACGAGTTCGGAGGGAGTAGTAGAGGGCGCGTTCATCGGTGGTACTGGTTAAACTATGACGATCGGAGACTAAACGCTCTCTGGAGAGAATATGAGAACTACGACGAATTTGGAAGAGAAAGGTAAAGATTCCTTGATATGAGGGTATTGTTTGTGGAGTAAGTATTATTTGCACAGGCCAAGAGAGGTGATACATGGGTTCGATTATGGAGAGTACCTTGACTGATCTTCGACATCTATTGATATCTCGACTCCTTTGTGAAAGAGGTCGGATTCGCAGTCGAAGTCGTTCTGGGATTATGGACGCATGGGAACCAATTGTACTTTGTGCGAGCTCTGTCAATGAGAAACGATCATTCCAGGAAGAATCTAACGTATCTAACTTGTCGAAAATAGATGACATGAAGCTGGAGGAAGAAATGCCATCGGCGATGAAGTAGACATGAGCTAATGCATTGAGGGCATTATGTAAACCGCAAGAATCGAACAGAGTTTGGCGCAATTTATTTGAGGTATGATGATGCTTGCTTCTAATCCACTTTTCGAAAGCTACATCAAATAACTCGGAGAAAGGGGCCAAGAAAAATTTGGAGGTATTGCATACGGAATCAAAGTCGAGCTTTGGTTCTATTTTCCGCTTTAACCGTACAGATTCGAATTGATTTAGATGTTTCAGAACAACAACGCTTTTGCCAGTATTAAAGATTCTTTCCGCAGCAGTGTGAAGAAAACTCGGAGCATGTAATACGCCACTTTGAGTCTTGCGTAGCTTAAAGCGAGACTGCCAAATTGAAGACGGATCCGAGTTTCCAGTAATTTCAGAGACAAAGAATACGTTATCTCCACTGCTGAGCTCACCTTCCTCCATCCATGATCTTATTGGCCTTAGGTAGATTTGAAAGCACTGAAAGAAGATCTTACCCATGAAGGAATACATATCATCATCTCCAGCCATTTGGGAGGTACAAGTTTCGTCGTATAGAAACTCGAGGTACCGGAAAGCATGGGCATATGGATCATGCTCAACTCTTTTGATGATTTCGGCCAGTCTGCCAAGAGGCTTGGTAAATTCCGCCAGTTCGTTTTGTAGACTTAGAAGACTCACGACAACATCTTTCGATGGAGCAACAAATCTACTCTGGATGTTGGATAGCCTAGTGTCCAAATTCATAAGCCGCTGAGAAATAGATGATTGCAGAACCTGTAATAATGGCACGTTTTGAGGTTGTTTTACCCAGGCTCGAAGAACAGCTAATGCTGAGCCTTGGGTTGCAAAGGTTTCCATTAGCATATCATAACCTTCCGGAGTCAGATGCTTGAAGGTATAACTCCTCAAGGGTTTAATAATCCGAATATCACGTGGATTTGGTTCGAAAAGAGAGCTCAATGATCCAGCAAACATGAAGAGAATTTCTCGAACCCCCTGAAGTTCGGTGATAGGTTTTCTAACAGTTTTTAGCTGAATGCCATTTACGCTTGGTGGTTTCCGCCAAAATTGCGCCTTCCTCAATTTATTCAAGGTGTCCTCTTCAAGTGTATTCACAATAAAATCTTGGGGTGTCCTGGTGTTGTCATCATCCAAACTCGATTCTCCTGTTGATCTGGTCGACTCTGTCAATTCTGATCGAGTATCCCCAAGGGCATCATCATCATCATCAGAACTATCCGCCCCAAAATCGACATTTCTCCAAATGCTTTTTTCACGTAGCAGAGGATCCTCGGCAACAAGATCTCGCCATTTCAGAGGGGGCTCGGTTTCAGGATCTAATACTTTGATCAATTCCAGATCTTCAATCCTCGACTTAGAAACTGGCTTATTCGATAATTCAAGAAGTAGATGTAGAATTTCGGATGTCCATTTCAATTTCAGTTCAGGTAGTTTCTGCAAACGCTCCTTGAGCGCATCTGCGAGTGGATCTTCATTGTATACTCGAAACTTTTCGTCCAGACCTTCAAGTCGATCCTGAATATCAAATTGATTTGTTCGGTTGTAATTACCATGCCTAAGTGCTCGAAGAGAAGTTTCTCGACAAGTATTGAACCTGGCAGGATCAGACTAACCTGGTCAGCCCTTTGATTCTAAGGATATTGAAGCAGTGAAGAAGATGATCCAATGAAAACAAAGATGTTTACCTGTGGAGAGAAGGAAGTGATTAATGTGACAAGCTCATCCGTTAAAGCTCCCAGCTTTGCAAGATGTGCCATTGTATTAGTTCATTAGCAAGCTTGTCTCTATGATATAATTCATAAACTTTTGATCAATGATATACTGGATCGAAGTTCACTCGAAAGGGTGAGTGGTAGTAGAGTTTATGCACTCCTGATCAATGATTTTCGCCGGCAAGGTTCATCGAATGTTAAAATTAATATAAATATTGGTGGTAGAGTTATTCCGCACGCGCTTCAGAAAGAGAAGACGCGACAACCATTCGGCCTTGAATACAAGGCTGTTATCGCTTTACCTAAACCTTACTTGTTCGAATCTTAGTACCTTATTATTATTAGCCTGCAGGTGTGACAAGGCAAATCCCATCCCCTTTTTTAGGGTCTCCAGTTAGTCGGTTTTATTTTACATGATCTTACGCGGCGCTGGAGCTTCAATGACTTTAGAATTTCGACACATCTTTTGAAGCCAGAAATCATCAATATGGCTGTAGCACGCCCAATTCGAGTCCTAGGCTTATTAGCCATAGGATTATGGATGTTTTTCTTATATCAAGTTTTTGGTCCACCAAAACCAGAACTTGGGCCTGGAGATACACTTGCCAATATAGAAAGAGATCCTAACCTAGATCGTATGCGCCGAATCTCCTTAAATGCCAATTACCTTGAATGTCATACTGACAAGTTTTATAGCTACCGGAGAACCAGAAGGTGTGTTATGGAGAGCCGATCAGGGCTATGGACCAGGCGCTGAGGGAACGAGTCGAATCAATGCCACTCTTTTATCTTTGGTTCGCAACGAAGAGGTTGATGGTATGGTTCAGGCTATGCGAGATTTGGAAAGAACATGGAATCACAAGTTTAATTACCCGTGGACATTTTTCAATGACGTACCATTCTCAGAGGAGTTCAAACGTCGAACTTCTGCAGAAACGAAGGCAGAATGCAGATATGGTACGCAGCCCTGCCCCTGATGACATCTGTCAACTCTAACAATCTTCACAGAAGAGATCCCCAAAGAACATTGGGAAATGCCCTCATGGATCGATCCAGAGCTTTTCGAAGAATCGGCAAAGATACTGAAGGAGAATGACATTCAATATGCCAGCATGGCATCTTACCACCAGATGTGTCGATGGAATAGTGGTTTATTCTACAAGCATCCAGCCATGGCAAATATGCAGTTTTACTGGCGCGTCGAGCCAAAAGTCCATTTTTTCTGCGATGTCGACTACGATGTGTTCAGGTATATGCAAGATCAAAACAAAACTTACGGATTCACCATCAATCTTTACGATGCGCCTCAATCAATTCCATCCCTATGGCCCGAAACCACAAAATTTTTAGCCGCACATCCAGAGTACATACACGAGAATAATGCAATGAATTGGGTTACAGATAGTGCGCGCAGACCAGAACATAATCGGAATGCAAACGGCTACTCTACATGCCATTTCTGGAGTAATTTCGAGATTGCCAACATGGATTTCTGGCGCAGTCAAGCATATGAGGATTACTTCAACCATTTGGATCGTGCGGGAGGTTTCTTCTATGAGCGATGGGGAGATGCCCCAGTTCATAGTATTGCCTTGGCACTTTTTGAAGATTCGAGCAAAATTCATTGGTAAGTTTCGAGTCCTTTACGTGAAATCAGTGTCCCTGACTGCCCTTTTTCTACAGGTTCCGTGATATCGGTTACCAGCACATCCCTTATTTCAATTGCCCCAATTCGCCAAAATGCAAAGGTTGCCAGGCGGGACGATTCACAGACGGAGAAGCTTGGCTACACAAGGAGGATTGTAGGGCAAACTGGTTCAAATATGTCGGTATGGGCTGAACGAGGATGGAACCGGGAATGACCAAAAGGAATATAGATGGTGGTAACGGATGACATATTGTATTTAAGTGTCTTTATGATGTTTGAAAGTTTAAAGCAGGCAAGCATTGGCAGGGCGTTTGGTAGGATTTCGGGAAACATGACAAATTATTAGAGTATAATATGGCACGGCTCATGAATTACATATACCAGCAGGAGTGCTTTTGGAAAGCGACACCCAGGTATTATATCGGTTAACATTATCCTCAATTCCTTTCAAGCATATTGTATAGCATTATTCCTGTGATTTATCGGACAGGAGACCGCTTGGTTTGTGCAGCGACTGTTTCTTTACGATGGCATCAGCTCAATGTAGCGAGCGTTTACGGTCCAACAATTTAATTTCTGAGAGAATATTCCCGAAGACTCGCAAGATCATCCGACTTGAGTGTTTACCGCGAATATTTCTAGCAAATGCTGCCGAGGTTTCTCCCTCCCCATACGTCTCAATCAAATTAAGAGATTGGGAGAAACCCTCTTCGGAGTCAGTCATGTCTGGTTCCGAGGCCTGAATGTATCCACGCGGGGCTGCTTATGGAGAAATGCAGCAACACCGAGGTACCTTGTGCCGATCAAACGATAGATTGTTGTATATAGAATACCTAGACACAGGTTTCCTTTTTCTATTTCCTGGATGAGCTAATTTTCTGTTCGTTATATCTACTGATCTTTATATGCAATATTTGTTTCCGTGCTCTTCTATTCTCCTAGGCCGCATTTCTTATGATTAGGCTCGTCGACAAGATGTCGAATTTTGAAGACATAATCAGAGAAGCTTGCAGTAGCAGAGATATTGCAGGTGCAGTGCTGGTAGGGGGAGATAGCTCTGGTATGCATATTTCCTTGATTCATCGAATTAGTTGGTAACTGGTGTTCATTAGTGTGAACACGAGCACTATAGTTTTCGAGTACCTATTCAACATAGTTTTCAAGGCTCATTGGATGTCTTCTCATCTTGCTTTTTTGTCAATATATTTCAGGGATTAACATGTCCAGGAAAATCCTATTATGCCAAAGCCTTCGGATCTCAGTCTCTTAAGGATCCCTCGAAGCCTATGAATTTGGACAGTGTCATGTGGTTTGCTTCCTGCACAAAACTATTCACAACCATCGCGGCATTACAATGTGTTGAGCGAGGACTTTTGGATCTCGACGGCGATATCTCAGAAATCTTACCAGAATTCAAGGGTGTACAAATCTTGACGGGTTTTGATGAAGAAACTGAGAAGCCAATCTTAATAGATAACTATAAAACTATAACGCTGCGGTTTGTTGCTCCCCCCTATCCTAAATAAATACAAAGCATGAAACTGATCATACTAAGACATCTTTTAACCCACTCATCTGGACTGGGATATGACGTTTTGGGTAAGTATTATAAGTTCTAGACGTTCAAGGAAATAACTAAGTTCATTAAAGATCCGTTGCTATCACGGTACACAGAATATACCAGTAAAGGCTCGCCTATGCCCATAGATGGAGAAGTTCTAGTCAAAGAACGCTTTAAATTCCCACTTCTATTTGCCCCTGGTGAGTCATGGGGCTATGGAGTTGGTATTGACTGGGCTGGCCAGATGGTGGAAAGAGTCAATGACAACATGTCCTTGGAAAGATACTTCAGAAAGAACATATGGGGGCCTCTTGGTATGGACAGCATGACCTTTCACCCAACTCAACACCCAGAGATTTTCTCAAGATTAATCACAATGAGTCAACGAGAAGGAGGTGTCACTCAGTATGGAACAACTGACAATCCCACGGGTAAAGTCAAATATACCAGTCAAGTACCATTTGATCCAGCTACCAAAGACTGTCAAGGAGGCGCTGGGTCATTCGGAAGTCCCGTTGATTATTTCAAGTGTTTAAAAAGCATTTGTGCCAATGATGAGAAATTACTAAAATCAGAAACGGTGGATGAGATGTTCAAGCCGCAGCTGAGTGAAGCCTCAAGAAAGGGCTTGATGAAGAGCCTTTCTATCCCAGAACTTAATGCATGTTTTGGTGCATTTCCTAAGGGGTTGAAAGCAGATTGGGGCCTCGGAGGTATGATGAATCTGGAAGATATCGGTGGTAGAAGCAAAGGCTCGATCGCCTGGGGAGGATATCCAAACCTTCAGTGGTGGATCAATCGTAAAGATGGAGTATGCGGTATATGGGGCTCGCAGCTAATTCCACATGGAGATCCAAAGACAAATCGATTGATTACTGTTTTTGAGGACGAAATATATAGGAAGGCGGGTGTTTCTCGGGAGAAGTTGTGAGGTTTGAGAGTTAGGCATGGCAAGTGACTATTTGCGGCCTGTTATAGGGGCAGTATATCTGGATCCTATCTCTTTCTTAAATCAGTGAAAGTCACAAGCTCTATCTCATGATGATAGTATTTCTCGGTGCAGGGGTTTTTCTTTGTGGAAAGTATTATATACGAAGCACGTCAAAGTTTATATTTATACAGGAATCAGTTCTTCATTTCTAAAGACACGCAAAAACAAATGCAAGATGGCTTTTCAACTTTTACACAACTTCCTTCTTTCCCTTCTCAGTCCTTGCAAATATACATCCGCTGCTATGGTCTCGGTGCTTCCGTATGAAAATAGGAAGGAGCCATCTGTTGAAAAAAAGAAAGTAAGACATAAAATTTTCAAATCTTGACCTTTTCCAAGTTCAACTACATATGAATTCGACAACTCGCAGACCTATGAACGACATCTTTATCCACCAACCTACAACCCATCGAAATGTCCGTCACGACGTTAAATGGCCAACCTACACTTAATATTTCCGGTCCTGGCCAGACCGCTCTCTCCCGTCTCGATCCGCTCAAAAAAGTCTTCACCAAATTCTTTTCTTCCATTCCACAAAAAGTACGAGGTCATGTTGTTGCTGTTATTGGCGAACTTATTGGCACAACTGCTTTTCTATTCATCGCATTTTCCGCAGCTGAAGTCGCTCTCGCGTCTGCAAATGATAACAAAGGCGATAAAGTTAGCTACGAGACAAAATCGATTAGTACGACTCAGATATTGTTTATAGCATTTGGAGCTGGAATAAGTCTGGTGGTTAACGCGTGGACTTTTTTCCGTATTAGTGGAGGGCTGTTTGACCCAGCAGTGCGATAGTAATCTAAGTCTAAGTTTTGGAGTCTGTACTAACTCTGAAAGGTCTCTATTGCATTGTTCTTCGTCGGCGCAATCGATTTGACTCGATGTGTACTACTTTGTATAGCACAATGTGTGGGTGCAATTGCTGCTTCTGCAATGGCTTATGGTTTATATCACGGAGGTTTACATACGGCAACTACACTTAAGCCTGGCATGAGCCCAGCACAAGGAGTTGTTCTTGAGATGATACTCACATGTCAGCTCTGTTTTACGGTTCTTATGCTCGCAGCTGAAAAGCATGAGGCTACATTTTTGGCACCTCTGGGTATTGGATTATCTGTGTTCATAGGGGAACTATCCGGTAAGCAGGTCCAGATCATCCCGAAGAAATCTATCAGACTTTTACTAACAAAACAAGGCGTCTTCTGGACTGGCGGCTCCATGAACCCAGCCCGCTCTCTTGGTCCCGCAGTCATAACCTTAAGTTTCCCAAGCTACCACTGGATCTACTGGGTCGGCCCTATTGCCGGCGCCGGCCTAGCAAGTATAATCTACAAACTAATCAAAGCACTCGAATACGAAACCGCACAACTCTCCGAGAGCGAAATTCACGCTCATCCCGCTGAAGACTCAGAGAAAGCATCTGGGCACACGGGTCCCTGTGAATGTATGTGTTTCAAGGTCGCGGCTCAGGAACAATCATCGACCGCAAGTATGCTGCAAGTTGCTACGACGGATGCGAGGAAAAGCTCGAGTCTGGTTCCGACGAAAAGTACCAAGAGTGGAAATTCAGATATGAAGAAGACTGAGACAGTGGTGGAAGAGCCGGCGAAGATTCAACCGAAGGCTCCTCCAGTGGCTGACGATGGTTTCTTTGGGGAGATGTATGCAGATTGAGTGGAAACTTACAACATGATTCTAGGATGAATATCAGTATTATTGTTTGTCTAAAGTTGGACGACTGTGTTATAAAATTGGTTTAGTGAATTATTGAATAACTTCTTCCCTTTTCGGGATGATTGGTGTAGTTTATGATGAGGTTCTGTGCGGGTATAGGAGGGTTAATTCAAGTCACACTACCTTTATTCTTTTGAATGCAAATGCTACGATATTTTCCTTGCACGTTTGTATGATATCTTCGTGAGTTTGATTCTGGCATGAATATTGATCCTTTCGACTATGCGAGAAACTCTATTCAGTCATTCATATCTTACACAACGCTCAGAATAATAATATGCTTCACTCCTAGTTTTTGGAGTCGTTCTTCCACACATGTGCACCTTGATGAGAACAATTATATATGCCGGCGAGTTGATAATACTAGTGACTTCTATTTATGGCTAGATGCCACTGACAGAAAGCTAGAGAATGTAGGGTGTCTAGGTGAATGGAGAGTTTTAAGAAGTTGAAGTATTTCTCGTGTCTTGCTCATTAAAAAAAATAGAATACTGTCCCAAGAGAAGCAGCTTGATATTGCATATGCACTCAAAAATCTACTCTTCTGTAAATAGATAGATATAGAGAACATCAGATAACAAGGCACGGATTATTGGTTTCAAGATGCACAAACTCGCGCTTTACTTCTAAATGCATCAGTCTATATCTCTTCATAAGATAGACCAGATGACTAGATGAAGGAAATGGAAAGCGCAGTGCTAGTGACATTAAAGCTTTTGTATCATGAAATTTTTTATGCAAACGGAAAAATGGAGTGTGAGCGATCCCAGTGGAATGGAGTAGAGAGATATCGACTTTGAAATCTGCCTTGATATATTGAGCTGTTATCCGATCGTTAATAAAATTCTTTTCTTATATATCATGTACCACACAGAATACATATGGCTCATATAAAGAGAGAACTTAGAGACTAATAATCTATTCGTTCATCCCTCTAAGCTCACTCAGTATCAGTGATGATGTAGTGGCTAGACCGTCATCCAATAATATATACCGAGCCAACATTCATAGCAAAAGCGTATGAGAAGCCAAATTTGATGAGTTTTAATCAGAACTTTACTGCTTTCTTCAGGAAAGATTTGGTTGTTGGAAATATGAGTAGAAAATATAGCATTTCAGTACACACAAAGCTGTATTGAAGACGTTCAGTTCAGTTTCACTGGAGAGATTGACTTATATTGAAATTTGAAGAAATAGACGAGAAGAGACGATAGCCTTCTAAATCTCCTACGGTCAGAAACACGATGATCCAACTTTCTAGCTTGAACTGAATGGTTAAAAGCTAGAGAAATGAAGTAAAAGTATTTCTTCATTCACGGATTGAGATGAAAGATATTAGGCTCACTACTTCCAATAGTTATCTACACATGTTGAAGCAAGACCACCAAGAAACAAGATACTGTGGTAAGATTCATGATTCATGATCACAAAGTGGAAGATTCTCTTCCGTTCTACTACCTCCTAAGAACATGCAGATGGAATCTTACTACACCCCCTACTCTATACGAAATCTACTGTAAATCCGCAAATCCGGCAGGAAACATGTCTGACATGAATACCCATCTCATCTCCCCCCTCTATCAGAATACACCTCGAGGGACACCCAAAGCAGTGGCTCAATTCCGCCACGAGATCTTCGGAGGAATACACGACGTCTCCTGTTGCTAGTCAACATGTGAGAGACATAATTTACCTACTTCCTTAATCTACGGAACATACACTCCAGATAAAACAAAATCCATGTACAAAAGGAAGGGTGTATTCCTCCCTACCACGTACCCTCGTCTATAACTGGATTGAGAAATTGTTAACGTGGGATTGATGGGATGGATGAGGACGGGGCAGCGCACTACAAGAAACAAGGCTCGATGTGCTATCAAATGCTACGAGTATTGCGAATTAAATATCGTAGATCTAGTGTTTACTCTAGAGTTCAATATCCACGTATCTCTCTACACCATAAGAGTAAATAGTGTTGTATGATAATTCACACGGCAAAGCTTCACCTCGTAATTGGTTGTACATATATGCACTCAGCAACGAAAGTAGAAGTGATGCGAGCGAGTGAGCGCGTGGAGTATATCTATGATTCGAATCGACTAAGCGGATAACGCGCAGCATACATACACACATATAGATAAGTAGTATATACATTTGAGGCTCCACGATATTGAATTCTACGATGTGAGTATGCGACACAAGAAGTAAGTCGAAGAGGGGGTTCGTAAACGACCAACTGGAGATGCTAGAGTACCTATCGACAAAGAGATGATTGCATCATACAAAAGAGAAACTTTCCATCGTGTCTCAGCCAGTCTAGGCGCAGCGCTTGGATCGGAATATTGAAGAGTGTTGATAAGTCAAGAGGAACGACATGCGATACGTGCATGCAGAGGTGTGCGAGGGAACATAACAAACATGGTTTACCGAAGGCCAGAGCAAGAGCAGATGACTGAAACGGAGTGATTGATGATCGCGACCGTTCCGCACCCAGGAAACCAAGAAGCGCCATGCGACGAAAGACGTGGCAGGGAGGCGAGTCTTGGATCCGGTACATGGTCGTCGGTTGGAGATCGCGATTGACGAGCCTTAATTTGGTTTGCCTGCTGATGCGTTCATGTTGGAAATAGACATTGTGGCGATCGCCCTTTTACATACGTACATGAAAGACATTGTGAGGCATGTAGATCACTGTGGATACGACAAACGGTGAATATGCTATGATCATGGATTTCAACTAATTTCATCATTAATTGAAGCCGCAAAGGATTTCACGATGTTTCGTGAGAGAGATGCAAGAATTCGCAAAGGAAGATTATGTAGGCGATACAATCTCCGTGTAGCCATCCATTCACACCATCTGAATAACCGCTTTCACGTACATACATATATGTGTCTGAGTTTCAGGAGCCATTACATGCGGCGCAGACCTTTCCATCGGAAGCAGAGGGCAACCGACAAGGCCAGCACGAGAATACCACGAGATGGGGAAAATGCAGTCGTGAGAGAAAGAGGAAGGTGGAGGAATCCTTCATTCTGTTGCCTACGCCATGTCTTCCATCAGCAGACTGTGCCGAGCGAGAATGGTCAACGCCCCGTGTAGACCACGATACTTCCTTGTCTCCCATCGTGCTTGTCTAATGTGCCGTCTTTACACTTTTGTATGCCGTATATTATATTGGCGGTGTGTGCATCTCACATGCCTGCATGTGAGGGAGGGAGGAAATGTAGTGACACACGAAGGAATCCTTCGATTTTTCGGAGACAGCGAATAAGCAAGAGCGGTGAGCCCCCCGTTAGCATTCAAGCATTTTACCGAGGCGAGAGAACTCTGAAGAAGAAGAAGAAGAAGAAGGAGAAGAAAAATCCTCTGGGAGCGAGCGGCGCAGGAGATTCTAGAAAACTTCTGGTGATTTCTCGCTCCATGGGAAGGATCCTTCCCCCATGTATCTAATTCGGAATCAGAGAGTGAGGGCTTTCTTGTAATGCACGGGTGCTTACGGCATCGTAAAGATGAACAGCTTACATCGAATCAACTGGATTGCGCCTCCTGAGTACTTAATCACTACGTGGTCGAAATGAAGCTTATGCTACACTATTGATCCCTTGCATCTCCATGACATATTAGAAACACTACAATTAGAATCTCATCTCCGTTGCCGTTACCATATCTCGAAACCATGGAACGCAATAAAAAATCCTTGGAAGTAGAATGAAAATCGAATGAGGCAGGATGGGGATATTGTGTCATGGTGGGCTTTTCAATCACCCGTCCAGAAAAAGGGTTTCCCATCCCCCCCAAACACCACTTTTGCTGTGCCGTTCGGTGCCGTTCGACTGCCACGCAGCTGACAGCATCACGCAAGATTGTTTTTGCTGTGCCGTGCCGCTAAAGATCGTAAAAACCATGTGGCATGACGGGCCACGTCCCCAGAGATGGTAACATGTGAAGGTTGAACATGTTTGCAGTGTAGACGAACGAAGGTCCACTATTCACAACGAGAGAATTTCCAGGTTCGTACGAAGTACACGGAACATGGATTTTGGGGGTGGATTTCGTGGCGAGCGCGGACATGGGAGATGATCGAGGGCTACAATTTAATCAGAAGTTAACCAAGAAGGTAGGTACATGTTTAAATTAATAATGAGGGTGAGGCTTGCTCCGTAAGTGGTCTTTGCAGCGCGGGAGTAGATGCCGGGCTGTCTCTCCCAAGAATCATCGTACCAACATGACAAGGCAGCAGGATAAACAGAGATGTGAGAGGCTGGAGCGAATTTTGGTGGCACGGCATGAGAAAAGATGGCCCTCCCTAGTCGATGCCGTATCTGTATACCCGCAGCTACTAATGTCCGAGTGATGCGATAGGGTATGATTGGATTGAAACGCGCGGTTGGAAAATGGAGGGTAAAACGGAAGAATAGCTAAGCAGAGGAAGAATCACCCATATCGGATAATTGGGCCTGGCGGTGGGCTGCTTGTAGAATATTGATGGATAAATGTAACCACTCCGTTGGGACCCTTCTGAGCCATACAATCTTGACGAGTGATGCTACATTTTCTACTATCTTTGGGAAGGGTGTGGGAACAAAATCGACGATTAGACGATTGATGATTTTGTCGGCTGCGACCTGCGAGGAGGTGATTGTATCACATCACATCGAAAACCAATAAAAAGAAAACATTTAGCTTTACTTACCGGAGGACCTAATCATTAGTAGAAAGTAAGGAAACCCAAAGGGATAAAAGAAAAACTATACTATTCCATCTAATGCATAACATAATAATTCACTCAGCATCATGCCCAGCCATCAGATAAACATGCTTATGCAAATTCGGACAATAGATTGAGCCGATCCCAACACCGTGTAGAATCGGATGTAGGCACTGCTAGGCACATGAATAACCTGAACAACATGAACATCTTTGGGTAGTGACAATACATCACATGTATACATCCGACATTGGGACATGTATACTATGCATGCATGGTTTTATATGGCAATGACATGATGACTTACTCATGAGTCGAAACGAGTTTCTCCAATTTCTCCCTACCATTCTTCACCCAAAAACTCGCATGATGTTATCCATACGTCA